GGAGTGGGCACCGAGGGAGGGAAGGTGCTCTGGGGGGTGGGGTGGTCAGGGAGTGGGCACCGAGGGAGGGAAGGTGCTCTGGGGGGGCGGGGGTCAGGGAGGGGGCACCGAGGGGGGGAAGGTGCTCTGGGGGGGGGAGGGGTCAGGGAGTGGGCACCGAGGGAGACAGTGAGGGTTAGTGACTGGATCCCGTGAATGAGTGAGTGTCAGTGCGGCCATTGGCGAGCACGGTTCAGACAACCGACAGTATCCCAGGCCTGACTCCAGTTGAGAGGGAGTCAGCAAACTCCAAAGAGGGGGTTACACTTGATCACGACTGCCCTAGCCTCAGCGTGTTAAATTGCCCCTGTTGGATGCCCTGTCCTGGCCCGAGGGGTGTGTGGGTATCACTGATCTTGTTGAAGTCTCTACCATGGACTGGGGGAGAGTGGGACCGCAATGATCCTTTCCAAGGCTGGGATCACCATTTAAGGGGAATTTCTTTTCTTTGAAGGTTGTGCACCTTTGGAACATTGTGGGTGATGATAGAGATGTGATCATTGAATATTTTTAAGGCAGCGGCAGATGGATTCTTGCTCAACAGAGGAGTCAAATGTTCTCCGGGATAGAAACACGTGAAATAAGAGCATTCATCCCTTCAAGGCTGCTCTGCAATTCAATAGATCCTGGCTAATCATCGAACCCAGTCCCCATTCCTGCTTTCTCCCCATACCCTTTGATCCCTTTACCCATGAGGACCATAGCTATCTCCTTGAAACCATGGGTACCTCGGAGTGTGGAATGTAGAACTTAAACAGATCAGTCATGATCTTATTGAATGACCGAGCAGGTTCAGTGGATAAGTTTTTCTATTTTCTATTTTTGTAGAGAGGGAGAGAGTGGAAAAAGGGAAATAGAAAGGGAAACAAAGGGTGTGACAGAGTGATGGAGATGGGGGTGAGGGTGGATGGAGTGAGGAGGAGGGAAGGACAGTGTGGGGGAAGGAGGGACAGTGTGTGGTAGTGGGGAAATAGTGAGTGACAAATGGAGCTGGAGAGGGAGACACAGAGTGGGTGGGGGTAAGGGAGGGTCAGAGATCGAAAGGGAGAAATGGAGTACAGACAACGGAGACCAAGGAGCAATGGTGTGCTTGGAGGAGGAGCAAGGGGATGGGGGAGATCACTGGGTGTGAAGGGGTGTGAGTTTAGAGACAGGTAGATCTAGGTGGGGAGGGAGAAATGAAGATGGTTCTGTCTACCAGACAATAACAATTGAAATGTGACTAACCAGTGAGAAACAGATCAGACAGAACCCTGATGCAGGACACAGAGGTTAGTCACATGGCAGTTAACAAGAATATAACAGAGTCAGATGGTCAGGTGAAAGGAGAGACATAACCTAAGCAGTATATTGTTGTACTCTCAAATCTCTACAATGCCGCTAGGCTCTGGACTGTAACATTCAGAATGAGTGCCATAAAACCTAAGGGAGTCACTGGTAAACCAAACAAGTAGAAGTTTTGCCCAGGGAGTGGTGAAAATGTGGAACTAGATACTGCTGGAAGTAATTGAGGGAAATAGCAAAAGTGCTTTAAAGAGGAAGTTTGAATAACATGCTGGAGAACGGAACACAAGAGAATGTTGATGGGGTGAGATGCATAAACATCCATATGTAGTTGGGCTGAATGGCCTTTTTCTGTACTGTTCCAATGAACTGTAATCCAAAATGAGCAAATGTGGCTGACACCCATGACAGGAGCTTAGGAATTCCTAAATCCCTCCAGTAGAGCATCGATCTCAGTAACATTAGACAGCAACGATTTTCTTCATTCTCTCATGGGAAGTGTGTGTCTCTGGCAAGACCTTTGGCATGGGAGCCAATTTACTCACAGCAAGATCCCAAAACATGCAATGAGATAACTGACTAAATAGTCTGTTTCAGTGATGCTTGTTGAAAGATGAACATTGGCCACTACACTGAGGAGAGCTCTTCTGGTCTCCTTCAAAATGATGCCATGGGATCTTAAATGTCTCATCAAAAGACAGCACTTGTGGCAGTGCAGGATTCCCTCATTACTGCACCCTTTTCATGGGGCAGTGAAACTCTGAGGTGGGACTTGAACTCTCCACCTTCAGTCAGAGGCAACAGTACTACCCGCTGAGCCTTGCTGACACCTTTATAGCCTCTGTGCTCTCATTGTTTATATTGGCAGTTACATTGATGAGTGCAAGCTCCCTCTCACCCAGTGTCTTGACAATTGATTCCTGGTCAAGGTAAACTAAAAAAACTGAAAGGCAGAAACATTAATAGAAATGTTCTAAAACTAGCTTTCATTTCAAGAAGGTTAAATTCTTGCCAGGATTACAAACTTCTTTAATTCTGTTTAAACTCACAAGCTTTGCACTAACCTGCTGACTTATGTACACAGTAATTCAAGAAACTGCTGTGCTGTTATGAAACACTGATGTGACCAAGATTATAGAAATACATGCTTTGTCTGAGAGAGTTTAAATAATCCTTCTATCCTTCTCCTCCGATAGGCTGGATGTCTCCTCCCCTGCATTTGGTTTATCTTCTAACCAGACTTGGACAGTGTGTTCTCTTCGATGGCTGGCTGTTCCACCTGGCTAAAACCCGATGATCTCTGCTCCGTCATACCCTGAGACGTTTTGTTTGCCGAGACATTCTGCTGGGTCATTAATGAAAGGAATGACCAGAGAGAGGCGGCAATCAGACTGACCAGGACACACGCTTGAGGGAAAGGAGTCTGGCTGTGCCACTTCCTCCGAGCCCTGCATTAGACTGGTTGCCTGTGGGGTGTGTATGTCTGTGCATACTAATGACCTCTCGCCGTCTTAATTAGAACAACACGGACCTTTGCTGTGATGACCTAAGCTCTCCTCATTCTCCTGTCTGTCTGTACTGAGTGGTGATTTCCCCCTAGGGAGACTCTGATAAGGTGGAGAGTGTGTTCGGGGAGCCAGGTGTTGAGCCACAAAACACCTCCCGCAGTGAGAATGGCCAGTTCAGCTGTAATGCGCTTTACCGTGGCTGACTATGTCATCTTTGCTCTCCTCCTGATCTTCTCGTCAGTCATCGGCCTTTTCTACGCACTGAGTGGCGGGCGGCAGCGGACGACCCAGGAGTTCCTGTTGGCGGGCCGTAGCATGACCTTCCTGCCAGTGGCACTCTCCCTCCTTGCCACCTTCCAGTCCGCTGTCGCCATCCTAGGCGTGCCAGCTGAGATCTACACCTTCGGTACTGAGTACTGGTTCCTAGGCTGCTCCTACTTCCTCGGGCTTCTCATTCCCGCCCACATCTTTGTCCCCATGTTCTACCGGCTGAAGATCACCAGCACCTACGAGGTGAGTGAGAAACGGAAAGCGAGGGATTGGAGCAAAACGTTACAAGGAGGACATCAGAACTCCTCTGTCTTGTGGAGTGAACCTGGGATTGTTTTTATTGGGTGGTTGTGTGGGAGGTGGTGTTGTAGTGGTAATATCACAGGATTAGCAACCCACAACCACAGGGTAATACGTGGGTTTGAATCCCACCAAGGCAGATAGTGAAATTTGAATTCAATAAAAAAAAATCTGAAATTAAAAGATTAACCTAATCATATTCATGTAACCAGTATGAATTGTTATAAAAACCCATCTGGTTCACAAATGTTCTTTTGGGGAAGGAAAACTGTCTTTCCTGGTCTGGTTTACATGTGACTCCAGACCCATAGCAATATGATCAACTCTTAACTGCTCTCTGGGCAATTAGAGGAACAAATTTAAAAAAAATATTAATTGAGGTCTTCAAAACCATGAGCTTTCATCACTGGAAACGGTTTCCAGTGACAGGAGGATTGGTAGGCGGAAGGGTTCAGATTTATCAGAGGAGACGGTTCATTCCACAACGCATGGTTGTGTTCTGGAATATGCTGCTTAAAAGGATGGTGGAAGCAGAGTCAGAACCTGCAAAAGGAAGTGGGTGAAATATTGGAGGGAGGAAGTTTTGGGATGAGTAAATGAAAAAGCTGGGGAGCCAGACCAGCTGGTTCGAAATCAAAGAATTGTCGGGCGAGCCAACTGGCGTCCCTCTGTGCTTTTAAGATTCAGTAAATTAAGTGATTATAACCTATTGGGAAAGATTGAACAGGCTGTGGCGCGATTCGCTAGGAGATGAGGTGGCAAGGTGACTGAAAGGTGCTCTTCAATGCTCTGGAAAGGTACCCACTGAGGGAAGGGTGTTTCCATTTGTGGGGAAGTCTAAAACTCGGTCAGACATTAGACTAGTCACTAAAATGCCTTTACCCAAAAAGTGGTTGGAATGTTTTAAAAAACTCACTACCACAGGGAGTGACTGAGGTGAATGTTGACATTTATTTAAGGAAGCTGGCTATGTACCTGAAGCGGGAGGTGGGTGGGTGGAAGGGAAGATGATAGTGTCAAATTAGGAAGAAGCTCATGTACAACATTAACTCTGGTATAGGTGGACGCAGGTGGGCTGTAAATTTGTTTATTTACGGACCTCTTCTGGAAAATGACTGCGACTTTTCTTTAAGCCCAGTGCAGTTCAGTTGTTGACCAATTGCAGTGGTTATGAAATGTTTTAGACTCTTTTAGCCCCTTGCATGGATTGCTTTGGATATCACCTTACACACATTTGAGACTTTCTACATGTGCATGACAATAAATGTTCACTTCTAGTCAGTAACACAAGGAAGTAAAGCTTTCCCATTGATCAAGTCAGCACTCCGTGCTTTTAGTCTGATCATTGTTAGCAGCAAATGTACACGGAGGTTCAAATATAAAAAGTAAAACAACATATTTGATTGCTAATGAAAGGTCATCAACTTGAAATGTTGACTGCTTCTGTCTCCACACAGGCTAAAGTTTCTCCGTATTTTGTTTCAGATTCACATCTGCAGTATTTTACATTTGTGGTGTGAAGTTCATTTGGTTAGTGGTTTTGGCAGAGGAGGAGGTAATTGAGCCAGTCAAGGCATGTCTTTGTGCAGCAATCCAGTTCACTCCCCCACTCCATCTGCGTAGCCCTGCATGTTTATTTCCTTCAAGTGCCTAGACAATTTCATTTTGAAATCACTGCTCACTTCTGCTTCCACCACCCTGATAGTTCTAAGCCATTGCTGTTTACTGTATTAAAACAAAATTATTCCACATATCTGTTCCCCTTATCTTTTGTCCACAACCGTTAATCTGTATCCCTGGTCCTGTGTGCTCAGCTCATGGGAACGGCTTTTCATTGTCTGCCTTATCTCAACTTGTCAACCTAACTACACACTGTGCACAAGTGTGGGCTTTCAGACTGAAGTCACGGTGATAGTTTCAGTTACCGATTTTTAGTATTTTTAATCAACCTGTCCCCAGATGTTATAGGGTGGGTGGATCTTGAATTCAGGCCTCCTAGCTCAGGTATAAGGACAATACCACAGTATCACAAGAGACCTTGATACAGGTTTTTGTTTATCTTGTATAGCTGGAATTGTTATCACAAATGAGAGAAGAGCTTTTCTCCCCCCCCCCCTCACCAAGTCACCTGTGGTATTTTTCATCTGCTAACTAATACCATCAAATCACCCATGTTCCAATTGATTAATTTACATGGAAAGCCCGTTTTAATTTATTTAATGCTGAGATCCTGGATCAGTAGGGGAATTAAAGACTACGGTGAAAGGGCAGGAAGGTGGACATGAGGAATTTGAATCAGCTATGACCCTATTGAGTACTCCTGTTCCTATTTCTTATGAACTTACACATGCAATAATACCAAAGGTGGAAGAGAAGGAGGGGAGAAAATCCAAATGGAGTTGGAGACTAAGATAAAGCACTTAGCCCATGTGGTTCCCACCTTTTACAAAGGCATCGAGGATATTGGTGTACACTGTGTGCTCCCTCTCCAGCGACACCTGAGCACAAACATAGCTGTGGAATAAGGATAGGCAATTGGCAACTATACCCGCTCTGTGGCTGCTGCCTGGACCTTTTAATGGTCAACTTGCAAGGCCCAAGGACAGACCTGTGATGAGTTCCTCCGAGTTGCCCACACCCCTCCACATTGGATAACCAAAGATCAGTGCAGTGCGTCTGAAGTCCAACCAAAAGTACAGCGAAATATTTTTCAAGTGCTTGTAAAAAGTTGTTACCGCTTTTTGTAATACATAATGCCATCAAACATACCTGGATTCCAAAATAATCACCCTCCTATTCCCCGCTGATCCCAGTAAATTGAAGTAAGTATGGTGGGTGGGGTGGCTGGTGAGAAATGAGAAAAAGCTGTCAAGATTCTCTCTGATAGCAAGAACTGCAGACGTTGGAGTCAGAGACAACACAATGTGGAGCTGGAGGAACTCAGCAGGCCAGGCAACATCAGACGAACAGGATTTCTAAAGAAGGGTCCCGACACAAAACGTCAACTTTCGTGCTCCTCTGATGCTGCCTGGCATGCTGTGTTCCTCCAGCTCCACGCTATGTTATCCAAGCTTCCCTCTCCCACTTTGCCCTTGATTCCTGTCCTGTTCGAGGACATGTTTGTATTTGTGGTGATTGGCATGCTAGCCACTCAGTTTCAATGAAGGGCAATTCCCTTGCCCCCTCGCTACTGTCTCTTTTCCTCTCAGAAAATTATCTTCGACAACTTGCATCTAAATCCACAAAATGACAAAAGAGTTCGATGAGAATCTTCTTCATGCTAGTTGTGAGCTGGAATTAACTATCTGAGCGATGTTAGAAGCAGATTGAGTAATCAAAGGAGAATTAGATAAACTCTTGGGAAGTTGCATGCAAACTGGGGAGGCGGTGGTAGTATTGTAATTAGACCAGTAATCCAGAGCCCCATTCTAGTGCTCTGTTAACATGGGTTCAAATCCAAACTTGAATTTAAGAAAAAAACTGGAATTGAAACTGGTCTAATGGTGACCATATATCCATTGTTGATTGTCGTTAAAAATGAAACATCTGATTCACTAATGGCCATTAGGGAAGGAAATCTGCCGTCCTTACCTGCCATTCAGTTGTATCATTCTGCTACAAAGTCTGATAAAAGGAATGAATTTGGACAGTCCACCCAACATCGACCATGGTACCAGGAATGGCAACGGGAGCCATAGCCCTGGGGATCCTGCAAGGTCCTGCTGACTCACCTCTGACGTTGTACCAAAATTGGGAAGGCTTTCCCACAGACTCATCGAGGAATAGGCTGACACAGCCAGATTTGTGGGATCATTCCTTACACACACCATCTCAGATACTGCCATCATGATCCTGTCCCATGACAGGACAGACCCACCACTCCTGAGTACATTACTGCTGGAGATCTTCAAGGTAATGCCAGCTACCTTCAACTGTTTCATAATGTTCTTCCTGCTTCTGATCTTAAGATGGTGAAATTGTTTGCTCATGATTGCACAACATTCAGCACCGTTTATGATTCCTCAGACACTGAAGCAGTCCATGTTCAAATGCAACAAGATCTGGACACTAGCCAGGCTCGGGCCGATAAGTGACAAATAACAGTTGCACTGTGCAAGTACTAAGCAATAATCATTGCTAACAAGAGAGAATCTGACCATCAACCCTTAATGTTCAATGGCATTACCATCACTGAAAATCTGACTATCAATATTCTGGAGGTATCCATTGACCAAAAATTCTGAACTGAATTAGCTATATAAATAGAGAGGTTACAATAGCAACTCGAAGGCTAGGTATTCTGTAGTGAGAAACTCACCTCCAATCCCCCACTTGTCTGGCTGGTGCATTCCAACAGCATTCAAACTCAACACCATCCAGGACCAAGTATTTGATCAACAGACACTGCTTCGTCAATGGACAGTGGCAGCAGTGTGCGCCATCTACATCTTGCAAGGCTCCGTCAGCATCTTCCAGATCTGTGATCTCTGACACCTGGGAGAGCAAGGGCAGCTGATGTTTGGGGTTACGACCACCTATACCCTTCCAAGCCACACAACATCCAGACTTAAAGCATTAAAGCCATTGCTTCAATGTTGCTAGGTCAGAATCTTGGAACTCCCTTCCCAACTGTAGTGGGGTGTATATACACACTGAGGACTTCAACAATTCAAGAGGTGGCTCCTCCCAACCTCCTTCAGTGAAATTAGGGATGGGTAATGAATGCTGACCAAGCCATCAGAACGCTCATTCTGTGAACAAAGCGCAGAGAATTAAACTATGTTTGATTGATGTAAATCCCCATCTGGTTCACTTGTTTAGACGAGAAATTGCTATATTAGAAAATAGCAGGGGTAGGCCATTCGCCCCTTGAAGCCCACTCTGCCATTCAGGATGATGATGGCTGATCCTCCGAATCCATAATTTGTAGCTGCTTTCTTACTATATAGTTTTGATCCCTTTAGCCCTAAGAACTATATCTAACTCCTTCAAAATATTCAATGTTTTGGCTTCAACTGCTTTGTGTGGCAGAGAATTCCACAGGTTCACGACTCTCTCTGGGTGAAGACATTTCCCTTCTTCACAGTTTTAAATGGCCTATCCTGTAGCTGATGCCTGATCTGACCCCCAGGCCAATGGGAGCACATTTCCTGCATTTAACCCCTGTCATGTCATGTTAGAATTTTTAGGTTTCTCTGAGATCTCACTCACCACCCCCCCCACCCAATCCTCCTACCATTCTTCTAAACTCCAGTGAATATCCAACCTGGCCAATTACTACCCCATTTATTGACTTGTGATCATCAGTAAAGTGATGGAAGGTGTCATCAACAATGCTATCAAGCAGCAATAACCTGCTTACTGACACCCAGTTTGGGTTCTGCCATGGTCAGTCAGCTCCTGACCTCTTTACAACCTTGGTTCAAACATGGACACAAGAACCGAATTCCAGAGGTGAAGTGAGGGTGACAGCCCTTAAAATGAAGGCTGCATTTGACTGAGTGTGACATCAAGGAGCCCTAGCAAAATTGAAAACAGTAGGTATTAGGGCAAACTCTCTGCTGGTTGGAGTCATACCTGGCACATAGGAAAATGGAAGTGGTTGTTGGAGGTTAGTCATCTCAGTTCCAGGACATCTTTGTAGTAGTTCTCATAAGTGGGGATGTTCGCCATTGATTGCACAATGTTCAGCACCATTCACGACACCTCAGACACTGAAGCAGTCCATGTTGAAACGCAACAAGATCTGGACAATATTCGAGCTTGGGCTGACAAATTTGTGCCATGCAAATGCCAGGCTATGACCATCACCAATAAGAGACAATCTAACCACCGCCCTTTGACATTCAATAGTGTTACCATCACTGAATCTCCCACTATCAACATCTTAGGGGTTGTCATTGATTGGAAACTCAATTGGACTCACCACATAAACACAGTGGCAAGAGGCTAGGAATACTATGGTGAGTAATTCACCTCCTGATGCCCCAAAGCCTGTCCACAAGGCACAAGTCAGGAGTGTGATGGAATGCTCCCCACTTGCCTGGATGGTGCCAGGAACACCACCCGCTTCAAGTCCCCTCCAAGTCACTCATCACCCTGACCTAAAAATATTTCACTGACACGGAATCAAAATCCCGGAATTTCCTCCCAAAGGGCATTGTGCCTATCCACTGCAGGTGGATGGCAGTGATTCAAGGCACCAGCTCACCACCACCTTCTCAAGGGCAACTAGGGACGGGCAATAAAATGCTGACCCAGCCAATGCCCCCCCATGTCCCACAAGTGAATAAAAAAAATTGGCTTAACCAATCCAATCTCTTTCATACATCAGTCCTGTCATTCAATCTGGTAAAGCTCAATTGCACACGGCCCTTAGCCAGAACATCCTTTCTTAGAAAATGAGACCAAAACTGCACCCAGTAGTCCAGGTATGGGCTCACCAAGACCCTGAAAATCTGCAGCAAGCCATCCCTGCTCCTGTACTCCTGGCCCAAATTGGCCTATGTGTGACTCCAGACACAAAACAATCTGGTTGACTTTTAACTGTCCTCTGAAATGGCCTACCAAAACACTCCATTGAATAGCAAAATGTTCTGACATTGTCAACAATGCCCACATCCTGTTAAATAAAGGGCTATGGGAGTAGATTGTGGCCTGAGTTTAATATCTCATCCGGAGATCTCTAGCAATGCAGCAGTTCCTGCGTATTACCCCGAGTGCTCTGGTCCCTGGTGTGACTTTTACCCAGAGACTTCTGACTTGGGCTGCGCTTGGCAAGATGTTTGGAATTCAGGAGCTGTATTTCTACTCTCTGTCTGGCTTCTGGTTCTCTATCTACTTAGACTGTTTTGGGTCCTGAACCTGAATCCTAATGTGGAGTTTGTGTTTCTCTTCCAGTACCTTGAGCTGCGGTTTAACAAGGCAACGCGACTATGTGGGACACTGACCTTCATTTTCCAGATGGTGAGTCTCCTGTCCACCAGATAGTTAATAGCTCTGCAATAATGATTCCTTTAAGTTGTCTTCATTGTGTGTGATTCACTCAGAGATAGTAAGAACTGCCGATGCTGGGGTCAGAGATAACACAGTGTGGAGCTGGAGGAACACAGCAGGCCAGGGAGCATCAGAGGAGCAGGAAAGCTGATGTTTTGGGTCGGGACTCTTCTTCGGAATTGGGGAAGGGGAAGGGAGCCCTGAAATAAATAGGGAGAGGAGGGGTGGGGCTGGGGAAGGTAGTTGGGATGGTGATGGGTGAGTGCAGGTAGGCGGTGATGTGGATTGGTCAGTGAGGTGGGAGAGAAAATGGACAGGTTATGTCAGATCGAGGAGGTGGGGATGAGAGGGAGGATTGGACATGGGATGAGGCCGGGGTGGGGAGATTTTGAAACTGGGAAAATCCACATTGAGACCATTGGGTTCTAGGCTTCCGAGGCGGAATATGAGGTGCTGCTCCTCCAGTTTGTGCTTGGTGTTTTGTGACACTGGAGGAGGCCCAAGATGGACGTGTCACCCAGGGAGTGGGAGCGGGAGTTAAAATGATTGGCAACCGGAAGGTGTTGTCGTTTGTTGCGCACAGAGCGCAGATGCTCTGCAAAATGGTCTCCGAGTGTCCGCTTGGTCTCACCGATGTAGAGCAGGCCACATAGGGAGCAGCGGATGCAATAGACCACATTGATGGATGTGCAGGTGAACCCTTGTCTAATGTGGAATGTTTGTTTGGTGCGTTGGATGGAGGTGAGGGGGAAGGTGTAGGGCAGGTGTAGCACTTCCTGTGGTTGCAGGGAAAGGTACCGGGGTGGTGGGGTTAGTGGGGAGTGTGGAGCAGATGAGAGAGTTGCAGAGAAAGCGGTCCCTACGAAAGGCAGATAGGGGTGGGGAGGGAAATATGTCTTTGGTTGTGGGATCAGATTGTAGGTAGCAGAAGTGGCAGAGAATGATGTGTTGGATATGGAGGTTAGAGGGGTGATATGTGAGGACAAGAGGGATTCTTTCTTTGTTTTTGTCAGGAGGGGTGGGGATGTGAGGGCGGAGGTGTGTGTGACCTGTGTATTTTGACCAAAGGATCTTTTAGGTTTTATTGCTCATATAGTATCATAAAGGGACCTGTGTGATAGCGTCATGATGGTTGTATGGTCATGTGAATGTGCACCATACGGGCAACATTGTTTCTCAGATGGAATTTTCCTTTAAAATAGCCAGGAAGAAAACATAAACTTGTACACAAATCAAAAAAAAGACTCTTGTCAATCACATTGCTGTTGGGATTTTGCCATCCTGGCTAGTAAATCAATGTCTGTAACTAACCATGCAATCACTGCTCAGTTTATCTTCAATCTGCAGAAGTTAATTGTTAAGCTAAATATTCCCTGGATTCTGATTAGTTAATAAAATGTTTTGCATGCTGCATGTAAAATTTCAGACAGTACAGTCCTTCATGTCCGTGCCAACTCTTTGAAAGTTTTCCAATTCATCCCATTCCCCCCAGTCTGACTTCCCTCAGGTTCCTTTGGCAATTGCCTTAAATATGTGCTTCCTGGCCACTGACAGTGATATCAGCTGACCACTGTCGTACAAGTGGACATTGTTTGGTGTAGTTCCTGAATTGGCTGTAAGGACTCAAAACTAACACATTTCCAGCATGTGATTTACAACCAATAAAGTAATTTTTGAAGTGTTGTAACAAGCAACCAGTTTGCACACAGCAAGCTGTCACAAAGAGCAACATGATAGTAGCCATGTAATCATTTGGTGATGTGGTTGAGAAATTCACATTTAGTAGGATGCTAGAAGACCATCCCTGCACCTATTCAGGTAGCGTTGAGGCATCTTTTCTACCCATCTGAGAGAGCATTACAGCATGTTTATTTAACATAGGACTTGAAAATCAGCTTGACTGACAGTGAAGCATTCCCTCAGTACCGTACCTCTGACAGAGCAGCATTCCTCAATGTGGCTTGCACCTTCCTAAACCGATACCCTCAAGTCTGGTGCCCGCAGTACTCCCAGTTTTCCAACAAGGGGTTAAAATTAATTCAGCGATAGTAGGAACTGCCGATGCTGGAGAATCTGAGATAACAAGGCGTAGAGCTGGATGCACACAGCAGGCCAAGCAGCATCAGAGGAGCAGGAAAGCTGACGTTTCGGGTCTGGACCCTTCTTTAG